TACTTGATTAATAGTGTAGAGGTGTAAGGTAACAATTAAATTATTCCTTCAGAGTTGCTCGCAAGGGTCTGTATTGGTAGGAGCACTATATCTTGGGAAACTATCATATGCGGAGGGGAAAAATCCACAAAAGAATCCTGTATCCTATCAGATCTCTTATGTCGTACCACCCAGCAAGGTTGTGATACCTTTGTCTTTACCTGTGCTGTGGAATGTCTACTTATTTCTATTACATCTTGTATGGTACATTTCAGAAAGGCCAATTAATGTTTCTGTGGTTTAATGATGCAGCGGAGCTTCATTTTTGTGTTTTGTTTACTTTTTTCTTCTGCCATGTCTAATGAGATTTTGTTGACAGATTGATGAAGACAAAGGCAAAAATTCTTCTTCAGGTAGAACAAAATCTATTGGTGAGCGTTTAGAAGAAGAGGTACTTGCAAAAATGTTTATGTTAAACTTGATATTTGTTGATCCCATAGTTGCAAAATTCTATTTCATAATTTTTAATTGTAACAAACTATAATAATTTGTTATATTAACTTGATGAATTTTTTTTTAAATGTATTCATGATTACTTTCGGTGTTTATTGCTTTTGGATAGCATAAATTTTCAAGATTTTTACTATTGTATAGTATCAATTAAGATAACAGAAACAAATTTCATCAAGATTAATTAGCCTTTTAAAACATTCATTTTCTCTGGTGTTAATATTGAATAATGCTCGTTCAATCCTTAAATCAGGTTCGAGATGCGAAAATAAAGGTTTTTGGAAGCCTGAAGCAAGATACTGATGATGATAGGTCAGAATGGAAAAAATTAGCTCAATCTCTGAAGGTAAGAGCCCTCTGTCCTTTCTTTATTTTAGGTTTATTCCATCAAAAGAGTTGAAGAAAAATACTTTTCTTTTTGAGTCATGCTTTCTCCCTAAATATTACTTTCACCACTCTGTCAAAGATTTTCCGGGTTAGTGCTTTGTGGGTACTATAATCCAAGTCTAGCTTACAGGCTTTATTAGCAAATTGCCCCCGAAACTATACCCCAATTCCTATATTGTTGCTAAAAAATTTTCTGGTCAAAAGTGGTACCTAAACTATCATTTTTTTCGTTGTAGCAAAAAAAACGGTGTATGTCATCCACTAAGAATGTGCCATGTGCCATGTTCTTATTGGCTGGTAATGTTTTTAGGGTAGTCTGGGAACATATTGATAGTTCTGTAAAAAAAACTTTCAAGTACATCTAGGAATCAAAAAAGTTCAGGGACCAATTTACTAATAAAGTCGGCATATATCAGGTTGAGTGTTCTGTTTCTTTCTCTCCAAATAGTGGTGTTCTTGTAGAAATATTAGAGCTAGGAATAATGTGTGAAGAATTTGTGTATAAGTTATTCCGAAAAAATTATTTGCAGCATGTTAGTAAAACTAGCTAATTATTGCCGTATAACTGTCTAAATGGTTGTCAAACATGGTGGAGAAAGTTTTGTGCCCTCCCTATTGTAGCTTGTTGCAGTTAATTTTGTTTGAATTGGCATATAATTCCTGAAACTAGATGGAAGTACCTCTAAATCTACTGGTGGATATTGCAAGACTGTTGTCCATTCGGTAGTTTGGAACTGCTCGACTTAGGCTTTCAATAGTGCTTTGTACCTATTTTAATATGTATCATGTGTTCCTTGGCAGTTCGAGTACCCTAAATACACTCCATTGCTTGCAAAAATCTTGGAAAGTTTGCTTTCACGAAGCAATACTGGGGGGAAAATCGACCATTATGAAGAGGTGAGTTGTATTTGGAACGAAAATAGTGATGACTCACTTGAGTTTGCTCGATCAAGTTTATCCTCGTTTTGTTTTGTGCTTTGCTGTCATAACTCTTCTTAAATCTCAAATGCTCAATGTTGCTAAGTTGAACTACCTTATAAAGTTGTTAGCTTCCATATTCATTTTTTTATTCTTAAGCATAACAATATTTAAGTTTCTACTTAGCCCCATGAAGGCCTAAATCTTTGAATCCGCTCTTCAATCGAGTGGGGGCTTGAAGTTCATAAGTTGTATCAACTGGAGAAGGTTGAAGTTCATGTATTTAGCAAAATACTGGATAGAATATATGAATTCTAGCTAAAAAATTACAAATATTAAAAAATATCAAACATAAGCAGTAGCTAAGAAACTGGTAATCAGGGTTGTCAGTTAACATTACAACACTCAAAAGTGAAACGGAAACTAACATAATTGAACTTTTCAGGTTATAAGTGCGGAAAATGAGGCGGTTGATAGTATCAACAGGGATGAATTGGCAAAATTCTTTTCACTTAAAAGTGATCCTGAGGATGAAGATGCAGAGGTTCGGTTTTAGATCGTCACTTTGCCCTTCCCTCTTCCTTTTCCATCATTTTCCTCTTACTATGCTGGACGTCCTCTTAGTAAATTCAGCAAAGTGATATTTTAGTTGTTAAATGTATTATATTCTTGGTTTTTGTTTTTCAATGTTTATGATGCTCTTCAGTGTGTTCGCTGTGCTGCAATCTCATTCATTCCTTTATGTTGCACTTTCTGGTGCATCAGTAGGTGTTTAGAAATTGTGTTACACACTAAGTTGTGATCCCCCTCCCCCTTTTTTTCCAGAAAATTAAGAAGGAGATGGAGACATCTCGTGATCAATTAGCCGATGCACTATACCAAAAAGGACTGGCACTGGCTGAGATTGAATCTATAAAGGTAGTGATTGGTTTTTCGATTTTCTGAGATTGATTAAATTCTTTTACTGAAAATGGGCTGGTAAGTCATATCTGCAAGTATATGATACTTATATCAACATGGTTATGCTAGTGTATTTATTAGAATTTAAAATGATGATCATTGCCATTACAGGGTGAGAAAGCTGGGGGCTCTGATAGCCAGTCAGACTTATTTGAGGAGAACTTTAAAGAACTGGCAAAATGGGTAGATATAAAGTCCTCGAAATATGGCACCATCTATGTACTGCGTGAGAGAAGGTGGGGAAGGCTTGGAACCGCGCTGAAGGTATTTTCTCTCATTGGAACAGTTATTATTATTTCGATTTTATGCTTACGTAATTTTATTGGCCGAGTTAGTTTCACTTAGATTCCCTTCCTCTTTCAATGTAAGCCACTAACTCACCAGCATGGGAAAGAAATAAAGACTGAGAAATATGAATTGTTTGAAATTTGAATGCAACTGACGCTTTCACTTGTCAGCCTGCGACACGCCACACACAAAATGTAAAAGAAAAAAGTTCGAATATAGTGTGGAAATTGGAATGATTTTCTATACCTCGACATGTCGGCTATAATGCTAATTAGTTTGATAAGGGTTTTTATTTTCACAATCAATACATCAGTCGACTGTAAAGGTGGTTAGTTTCCCCTGTACACGATGGAGTTAATTAAATAAAAGCCTCAACAAGTGAACTTGTTAGCAGGAATTTGAGTTCATCTATCTGCCGTCGGTGTTGCAGGTACTCAATGACATGATTCATGATGACGGAGAGCCTCCGAAGAAGAAGCTCTATGAATTGAAGCTGTCTTTGCTTGATGATATTGGATGGAGCCATTTATCGACATATGAAAGACAATGGATGCATGTGCGGTTCCCACCGAGCTTGCCCCTGTTTTGAGGTTGGACGATATTACGAGACGAGGGTATCTGTTAGTGGTCACCCTGGTTTGGCGCCAGTTTCAATTTTGGCAAAACATTGAACATTATTGGGGACATAAGAATTTCTGTCATATCAAAATAAAAATCTCGACTTATTCGTTCGTGAGAAGCCGAGATTATGTATTGATCCGTTGGTCTTCGGTCGGCCTCTAAAATGGACGGTGACTAACACCGTTTCAAATTCTCCTTCAATGTTATGATTATGAGTTAAGTATTTCATTATTGTGAATGGTGTAAATTAAATTGAGAACGTTGAGTTTTTATGATATATGATTTGGATTAGTCGTCCAAATAAGTCGGATGTTAGCAGTAATAAGAAAAAAACTGTCCGAAAAGCAAAATTCTTTTCATTTGGCGTTGTCACCGGAGGCATCAAACGTGAGAAACAAGATGGTATATCCGTGCTCTAAAGACGGATTCAAGAAGGAATTGGATGGAATTCAAGTTGAGTTGCAGGTTACTAATGCTACTAAAATGAGTTTCTTCATTACACAACAGCGCTATATTCTTGCTTTACCTTTTCTCACCTCTTCGATGTTTTAATGTGTTTTCTAAATTATAGCTTATATATACTCTTAACTGGATTTTTTTATTAAGCTAAAAAGGTAATTACAAAGTAGTATCTGTTTTAAATATTTTCAACAATTTAATAATGAACGTTCAATTACTCTTTACAGTTGTTGGTGCTCGAATATTAGTCATAATTTTATGTTAAATATTAATGTTATACATTATTCATATTTGATCTATTGATTAAATGATTTAGATATATCTTATAAAAGATATATTTAAATTTATGGCCACTGTTTAAGAGATTTAACTTTTATCTCATATATATCAGTTAATAGTCAAGTATAATATCTATTATGATAATACAAAGAGACTGAACCATAAATCCCTAGGCGTTTGGACAAATTTGCTTCGCTCACGGAACAAATTCGTTGACTTTGGATGTATTACTGTTGTACAATGTGAGCTCAATGGAAGCATAAACAGAGCCTGCTTGACCTGATGGATAATAAATAAACGGGAAGATGATGTAAGCCAGAGTTTGTCTCCTTCCTTATAACTACTACGCCTGGCACTGCTATTTTCTAAGCATTGACTTATTTTTTCCAATGTCAATGAAACTATTTTCTTTTTCTGACACCAAATATTAGGTTGTTATACAGGTCACAATTATATCATCAGCAGAATCGAGTTAAACCCTTAACTAAGATTAAACATAAATTATTTTTCAGAATGTACAATTTGATGTTCGAATATTATTAGAAAAGTTAATGAATATGATAATTTCCTTGTTATCAGAGAAACAAGATCAAGATACAATCTGTTGGAAAGATGCCCTTAAATGTACGATACATCATTGTTCATAGTGAAATCACTGTTTATGTCATTCCCAGATACAAAGCCGACGAATTCGTTTCCAGTTTCGAACTTGAATTGTGAGCTAAACATTTCATTCATTGATGCATTGTTCAGTCCATCGTGAAAATCATCACCCACTGATCCTAGATATGCATTTACGAAGGGGTCCTGGAAGTTTGAACTTGAACCGTGACTAAATCCATCTGAGGCACCCAAATTCGTAAAGCTTGCGCCTTCTTGATCCACCGACAGCCACTCTGCGAATATCGGAATCGGGTTTCTGTGAGGCTCTTTAGAGAAGTTAAAATGCATTGTGTCAGCTTGATTGATATTTATTAACGGTTTTTCGACATGCCGGAAGGATTCAAAGCTCGGCATTTGCAGGTCCGTAGGAGACAAAGTGGAATCTGCATTTTCCGAGCTTGATGTAGTGGAGTATTGAATGCTCCTGGTCTGAGCTTCCGATTCTTCAGCGTTGGCAACTCTTTTCTTCAGATATGAATGCCAATAGTTCTTGATCTCATTATCAGTTCTTCCGGGCAAACTTTGTGCAATTTGGGACCATCTAGTCGATAAAAAAACATTATTCATTCGAGTCCGGATTCGAATACGATCTTTCGAATATATAAAAAAATCCTTGAAATACTTACTTGTTGCCTAACAAATGGTGAAGGGATAAGATTGTCTGCTCCTCTTGTGCCGAAAACATGCCTCTCTTCAAACCAGGTCTCAGGTAATTAATCCACCTTAATCTGCAACTTTTCCCATTCCTTTGTAAACCTGTAAATCACAACACATCAGTCTCAGAAACCAGTGTAAGCTCATTTACTTGAGCAGCAAGCTACCGTTCCTGTATTCTATATTATTTAAGTATTTGTACATATCTAACGTGAGTGTGACATATATTCGATCATAACCGGTGGTATTATCTTCCGAACATATTTTGAGCATATGTCTATATCCGATACTCATACCGATCAAGACGGTAGCAATAAGCAAGAGCAACAGAAACTGGTATCAAAGCAAAAGCAAAAAACCCCAGGTGCATTTCAGTAATCAACAGCATAAACAACTTTCCCAAGAGAATGCACTATGAACCAAATCAAATTTCAGAATATTGCAGAGGATTCAACATCATAAATGATAAAAGGATAGAAGATGTTGACCTGCATTGATGGCAACGGTGGTCCAGCAACCATGGCCATGTTTAAGGACATAGGTCCTGAGCTTAAGGTCTTCTTCAGGTGACCATAACCCCTTCCTGTGCTTAATTCTGGGCTTCGCGGATGATTTGGAACTCATTCTGCTCTGCTTGAAACTCAGAGAAGTAAGCTTACAAAAGCAGGCTTATCTGATGCAATGAACAAAAGCAATGAGGTTGAAGGGCAAGCTACAGGAACAGCAGCAGAAGCAATAAATAGGCAATCCCCTAAAGAATCATTAATCTATAAAATAAAGCCAAGATTAGTTAATTAACAAGTTTTATCTTTATAATACCTAACCTCTAAGGTCTTTGGATCACTTACAGGAAAACTTAGCTACAAATTATACATTTAGAAAATTACATCTTACATGTGATTTAATATACATTGAGCATAGATGTTAACAGAATTATTTAAAAAAAATTATCAGTACATAGGAATATATTCTGCAATTTTTGTATCTCCAGGTAAGCATATATAATTTCTTTATAATTTCGTTGATTTTTCTTCTTGCTCTTCTGCTTTTTCATTAATATATATATATATATATATATATATATATATGTATGTATATCTATAACTTAATCACATTATTCTTGTATTTTTTAATTAGGGCTTAAATTTTAAGTTTTAAAAATATAGGGACCAAATATTGAACAGTTTACCTTAAAAACAATCAATATCAAGAAGATAATTAAATTCTAAATTTTTTTATTAACCAATGAAACCGATTGGGTTAAATGTTTAACAAGGTAGGTGGGGTGATTAGTATTTTTAATTTATTGCATATCAATCCCTCCAATTTGCTTATTTTATTTAACACGGAATTTTAAAATAAATAATAAAAAAATGTGAACTGCTTTTGGTCATTTACGATGTTCCTTTTCTACACCGACAGTTCGTGTTCTGTGTACAAAGCAATCATTTGAATTCCTATTTTAAATTTCAATGGAATTAATTGGTGCATAAATTTGATCATCTAATTATTTAATATTTTTTAAAGATAATTCAATAATTTAATATGAATTAATATAAAAACAGTGTCTTGCAAATAATTAAGAACGCGTGTTATATGCTTTGTTACAATAGTATTATTATTATTATTATTTATTTTAGAAAATCTGGTTGTCGGGATTATGACCTAATCATTCATTATTATTTTATTTCTTTGAATTGTATGAACCGCCTGATTAATTTCGTCTTATACAATCATCACTCAATTATTGTTAATTATGATTGCTAAATTACTTTTAGGGTAAAATACACAAATGGTCCCCGATTTTAGAGCGTTATTTTGTTGAGTCATTCGATTATTAAAAGTTATAAAATTATCCTTTAACCATACGGCGTTGTTTTGTTGAATCTACTGGCTATTAAAAGTTACAAAATGATCACTCGACTATTCATATGTTCCAATCTCATTCATTTCTGTTAAAAAAGTGACAATCGTTTGAGCTAGACGTTAACCTACTGACTGAGATATGGTAAAAACATATTTTAATGATGTCTATTGGTACCGTCGTGTCTTTCAAGTACTTGCTCTACATCATAATGTTTCAAGCGCTGACTCGACGACAAAATGTAAATGGATAGTCAATCCACAAAATACAACTCAATCGATTATGGCTCATATTTTAACATATCCCAATCAACAAGTTAACTTATAGCTTAAACAATCACCAATTTGTTAACAGAAAAATGACGAGTTTGGAACATATAAATAATCGGAGTGACCATTTTGTAATTTTTAATAGTCGGGAGACTCAATAAAACAATATCTTATAATTAAGGGATCGTTTTGTAATTTTTAATAATCACAAGACTTAACAATCAATGGACTATTTATTTACTTTACCATACTTTTTAATTCGCATCACACCTTAAAAAGAAAAAAGGAACATAAATTATTTTATTAAAAGTATTGTTTAATTCAATTGTAAAATCATAAATGGAATAATTCTCTAATTATGTATATGAAATAACAATTGACACATTTTTTAAAAGACAATATAATGTCATGTATGCCACAATTGGGCTTGAAAATTAGTAATATTAAGTTAACGACACTTGAAAAATGTGTTGGCATGTGGTGATTCGGGCAAAATTCTTAGATAATAAGGTGATTTTCCCATCAACATGAGAATATTTTCTTTAAATGTTTTGAAGAGTAACAGGGGAAGACACATAAAATATGCTGCGTTTTCATGGGAATACACGCCTTATTTTATGTGTTTTCTCATGTTATTGTAAAGATCATTTTATTTGAGAAAATAGCTCGATGTCACCTCTTATATTGAAAATTATTTTGCATCATCTTATTCGAGTGATTTTATTTAGTGAATCGGGATGATTTAATTATATTTAAATATAAATTTATCGATTGGTTTTATTAATAATAAATTATCAATTAGGATTTATTTGGTGTTCCGTTACATATATCTCAATTAATTTTATTTTTTTTATTTGATAAATTTAAAGTGAATACAGTATAATATATGTTCAAATACTATCAACCATTTAATATTGAACGTAAATACTTCCGGCATTTGCGGTGCTCCAACCTGAGACCTTAAGAAATAACAATAAATCCCTTACTTATTGAGATCACTTGGTTCATGCTCGCTCGTTTATACATTACACATTAGGAAAGGGATGAATTGTCTGAAACTCTATATACATTGCATATAAATAAATCGATCGAATGTAAATTTATTTAATTATTTTTTGTTATTACTTAAGAGATTAGATATAGCCGAATTAAATTGTACTTGTAATAATATTTTATTTTCTTGGATGAAATAAAAATATTATTTATCTAAATAAAAAACAATATATTGTAGGGAATTTTAAATATTTCAACTAAAATACATCTTATGAAATATCCTTCACTAATAAATTCGCAACCAGCATTTATAAAATCGGATTAAGAAGCATTTGACTAATTTATTTTATGAAGTTGTCCAACACTTTTATTTCTATTTTTATAAAATTAAAATATTTTTACACGCTTTCATAAAAAATTCTATTGTTAATAATCTCTATGACTGAATTGTTAATGATTAAATATGAAGATATTTAAATTCCGTTTAATGTAGGGATTGGTTAGTAGTTATGTACTTGGCTGTTTTCTTGTTCGGAGGTAGATGATGTATGGTTGTACTTGGTCTTATGTATCTGGTTTTTAGTAATAAAATTCATGACACTCTTTTCCTCTATTCTATGTCCGTTGAGCTACCTTTGTAGTATGACGGTTACGAAGGGGGTTTAAGAGGCCATCTTTTCTATAAAAAAAATATTTAAATTCCATATCATAGTATATATAAAAATTCACCTTATTAGTATTGTTAACACTATACAACTATCATTATAATCAAGGTTTGAGAACAAAGTTTTATATCAACAACCAGTTGGTCTAGTGGGTTGAGACACTAGGTCCCTTAAGTAAGGTCAAGGGTTCGAATATTAGCATTTGTGAATGGAACAAACTGGGTTGGGAGGGTCGCTCTTGCATCTACAGTACTCGATTTAGATTAGTTGGTCAATAGATCGGATACCAGTGATTAATTCAAAAAAAAAGAGAACGAAATTTTATAATTTCAAGAGGAATAAATTTATAAAATTTTAAGGGTCGAAATAAATTAACAATAAAAATATTTAAAATATATAATAATTTAAAATTTTCATGAAGACAACTGTCCTCAATCATCTGCCCTCAATTTATACCTAACCATAATATCAAACGTCAAGAGCTTAGTAAAAATTGTTATGCTAATAAGAAAAAGAAATTAATCAATTAAATCTAAAATTCTATTTAACAACAAGTAATTTATTTGATTTATCCATGATTCATTCGATTAAATTAAATTATTAAATAGCTGCAGTAAACTTTTTGTGGGGCTTAACAGTGACATAATTTGCTTATGTCAGCTGTCTTTCCTACCAAACTTCAATAAAATATCACAAATGATGAAGTCTTGAAGATTTTGAACATCGACCGATCTTAAAATTGAGGCAAAGTCAAATTAAGGCTTTCTAACAAAGATTAGTTGACCCTATTTCCGTATGTAATGGGATAAGAAGAGGTAGAGTAGTAGGCTGTCTCCAACGTCAGGTTGAGAGTAACTTCCGTGGAAGACATCCAATTATGAATTGCTAACCGTAAGACTCGATCTCACGATCATAAAATTAAGAGCCTTTAACTCTACCAACTGAGCTAAAGGCTTTCTAACAAGTTTCCAATATTTTGAATCAATTCAATAGTATGGTTGATTTTTTGTGCACACGAAATTGCAAATTAATTTAATAATTTTATGTTATTAATAAAAATATTGTTTTTAATATATAATTATTGATTATATATACATTTTTAAATAATCTAGAGTAATTATAAGATAAATCAATTCATAATATTTTTTAGTTAATTCAATTGGTTTTGTGGGTTAACTATAATTTGTATAATTTAATTATCCTCTTCATATTGACTGTTTTAGTTATTGACAACACACTTTACTGACGCAGTTGTTCAAACCCAAAATCTTAGGGTGTGTTTGATTGGGGGAATGTAAGATTCTCATGGGAATGAAATCCACATTTCCCTGTTTGGTTGGCCGGGAATGCCATTCCCGGTAATCTTACATTACTAATAGTAGATTTTTTGGGGTATATTACCGGGAATGTCATTACCTCCATTTCCTTAGGTATTGTTGGATTTCCGATGTTTTAGACTAAAATGCCCTTAATTTTTTTTTCTTTCAAAAATATCATTCTTCTGTCATTGAATAATAAAAATTTTACGAAGGTTAAATTACAAATTTATCCTTAAACTATTTTAGATTTACAAAAAAAATCTATAATTAAAATTTTATATGAAGTTCAGGGATTAAAATAAATTTTTACCCTTTCATTAAACCTTTTTATATTTTCAATTTTGTAAAAAAAATTATATAAATTTTATGAATTTAAAATTTTTAAAGAAAATATATAAATATTTTCCATCTTGTTAAAAAAACAAATATATAATAAGGACAATTTGGTCAAATATACATTCTAATAATCTTTTATTCCTTTAACCAAACACGATAATCTTACATTCCTGCTAAG